CTAAATCTGGGTTACCAAGGCAACACATAAACAAGTACATTGAGCATAGCCTAAAGGCAGATCATAGATCTAGATGATATCTCTGTGGTATTCTGTCAGGGATCTATTTCTCCCTTGTACAGTAGGGGGTATAAGTCATACCCCCCACAGCACAAGGGAGAAATAGGTCCAGGGCAGAGGGACTTGGGGAATAATTGTCAATTTCTATTAGTTCCAACAAAGATTTGTGGGGAAACAGGTGGTGCAATCACGCACAGATAAACTGGAAGGGAAGTAACACTAACAGGACATTCATTTCTCACAAGTGTTATACAATATACAACAAGCTTCTTCCCTTCTGGCCTCCTACCAAGTTGAAGGGGAAAACACACCAACCAACCAGCCTGTAAACGGTATTAATTTGCGCCACTTTTAGGAACACCAGCCCTTTCCCGTCTGCTCTGGAGGCGAGAGGTGGCTCAGACTTTCCGGAAGTGGTGACCAGGCTAACCTTGGCAAGTTGCCCACGCGCGTCTGTGCACGCCCACATGGCCCGTCTGAATCCTGTCTGCTGCGGGTCGGTCCCCTCCCCACTGCCCTGCTTCGAACTGTTTACCACGAAGCTTTTCAACTTTATATCTAACATGAATCTTTGCACGTACCCCATATTCTTTGGTGCGCTTTCCTTCTCTCTTTACATTGCCCTGTTGGAGGAAACTTTGAAGAAAATTGACGTCAAATTTCGTAAAAGTAGATTGCGACCAAGACAGGATATTATGGCACAAATCACCATTGGTCCTGGGTCGACGTCACAGATAGATACACGATACTTTGGTGGGGTTCGAACTTCGTTACGTACGTTCTACAAGAAGTCTGCTTCACCTCTTCCTCTGTGTATTTATTCATCTGAACTATTTACATGGGCACATTCCATAAAATGCAGTTTTGCCGGCTTTTCCTTGGGGTTTCCAGTCGCTAATATATCTCCAAACTTTGTCAGAGTTTTGACAGGACGTTGACAGGATCGTAAATATGTCGCTTCAATCGGACGTTACGATGATAGGAACATGGGATTATTGGCATTCTTTTTTCGTCATAGCGTCGCCAGGAGACCGCTTAAAATTTGGCTTGGTTCATCTCAATACGTTTCGGACGTCATCACAAATTCTCGGGGACAGGGAATGCCTGCCTCGTCGCCATAGAAATCTGCATCAACAAACAGGGTATTCCTTTATCTTTCCTGATCGCACACGGGGAACCCACCCCCTTCTTCAGGAAGACCGAGAACGTAAACAAAGGAAAACACGCCTTTGAAACGGTAGTTCTCAGATGCCAGACGTCAACACAGGTGAGACTGGGCGGTTCGAGAAATGTCAGTAGGCCAAACATTTGGTCCTACCTCTCCGACTGGCCTGGACGTCTTGTTGAGATACGTCCCTTCAAGGTTGAATGAATAGCTAACAATGGCAGGGCTTTTAGATTAAAATGATTATCCGTGGGTAATCTAACAAGTGAATCAACGACTCAACACCTTCTTGGCAATTAAAAACAAAGATAGGCCACCCCAAATACGAGCGCGCGTGGGTGGGGAGTGTCCAGTGACGGACACGTCCCCCTGCACGCAGCGCTACGTGCCGCACACTGGCCGTGACTGGTGCCCCCGGCACAACCGGCGATATACGGCCATTTGGAACTCATTTGCCAAGTCAATAGAACAGGCGTCTGCTAGGCCATATATTGCCCTGGAAGAACACCGTGTGACGCAGAACAGATCGGCGACCACAAGATTTGAAGGGAGGCCGACATTGCGGGTCAAGTGGAGAGGACAATGACCATGGTCAACCCGTGAACTACAAATGTAGCTCCCACTTCTTCTACCACGACCTAGCTAAATGACAGTAGAAGTGTCGAACGACATAAAAGTTTTCCTAATCAAAAGAATTGTCCTACGTTGAAATGCCTCAACCCTACGTATCTCTGTTAGGATGTTTTGAAACTACTTAAACGTCGCAGTATTTCAAGCACTATAAATGGCTCTAAATTGATCGAGGATGTTGAAAAGAGACCTCTTGGTCCTTGCCTCTAATCCATTGTTGACAGTGACGCGTAGTCCCAGTTATTTCTGGTTGAAATACACGCGGCATCGAGTCATCTCAGGAATGGGACCGTGTATACAGTGACTCCATACCGCTGTTTCTCTTACTATGATTAGCGGAATAGTGGCGGTGATTCCTGGGACGTCAGGAGGCGACCGATCAAAGCGAGGGGCGAGAGGTTTTGTCAGAAATTTCGCAAGTAACGCCGAAAGTGTTGAGGGCCAGAGGGCTTCCCCTTTCGATCACCTTGACAGTCCCCATCCCCAGTCCAGGATACATTTTTTTATACTCCTCCTTCCTGTTTCGGGGACCCAAATTTCACGCATTTCTGACACATCGCCAGTCGCCCACTTCTGCCAGAAACAAAAGGTCGCGAGGCAGCCGCCCCGACACCGCATGATTTGTTACCAATTTCAGTCTGTATACACCAAAATCCATCATCAAATACACATTCACACCGGAGAAAATTAAGTGGCTTAACACCTCAATGATAATTTGACGGGAAGCCCCAACAATTCAACAATAGACGCCGAATCCTTTCTTTCGCTAACTGCGTTCCCGCCTCCGTAGGTTTTTGCGGGGATAATGGCATTGCATAAATCCCCGCACCAACAAGGGACCACATTATGAACCAATTGATTAGTCGCGCTTGTTTGCACAGCTCTCCCCGTTTTATGAACTGGAAGCGACCTACTAGCGACTTCCGCTCCGTCCGTACCCTGCCCTCCCCCTTTGCCTCCCAGCTAGCCGGGTATTTTCATTGGGACCCTCCGGGGCTGTGGGTATGACGTGTGACGTAGCGTCCTGCGGAGACGGGGTCTGTTTTCCCAGGGAGAGCGGCCATGATTTTGCTGGCGGGGTCCCACCGACTCGAACCTTTTAGGAGCCCATAATTTACCGCCTCAAACCTACGCAGCACTTTTAACCTTACAACACCAAGAGTCAAGGCTACGTCCCCTTTATCAGTACCACTGCAGCGAGCACACAAGAAAAGCCACGTCTCCTTCTGGCCTTCGAACTTTCAGGGGGAAGTGCCCTGCCCCGCCCCGACGTTGTTTTAATTAAAACCATCTTCAAAGCTTGAGCTGTGGCTCATCTGCACGGTACCGACGTTTCCCGTACAGCCCGAATGTGCAGCCATCCGTTATGTGGCCACTTCGCCATCATCAGACCTTATCACTCTACTCTACTCTCATCAGACTCTTCTCTACCCTTATCTTATCCCTTGGTACTAACTTCGTCAAAACACTACGTCCTTGCTTCGTCTGATAACACAGAACGTGAAGACAAGAAGAAATACAACACGTCATAAATAACGCCGGTGTTTCTTGTTACAGTGAAAATGTTCGGGGAACTACTGAGAGAAAACCCAGTCTGTACTCCAGACTGGCGGAAATACCAACATCTCAGCAACCAACATGTCCCAAGTACAGGACTGAAACTCGATCAACAACTGTTCTTCGTTTCCTACATTCCTTCTTTTGTGGTGTTGCATTATTCAACTCTCCTAGCCTCCAATGCGGGTATTTTTCTGTGCTAACTGATTCTCTGGACAGAGAAATTAGATGGACGACGTTAGCGCTTGTGATCAGGGCGAGCCGCTTCCCCGTCCCTGACGGCTGTCAGTGTCCATATGGTATCGCGTACTGGTGCGGCCCGAGCCGCGCACACATATGCCAACCAGACCTGCAACCCCACACAACTTCTCTAATAGCAAACGATGTGTGCTGCGGGTCAAGGCTTGGGGGAGACTCATTCTTCACGATTACAGATGGAGCGTTAGATAGGACCGACTAGGCTACGTGTACAGATAACGTACTGTCCCCACATAGCTCTACACTCGGGCAGAACGAACACTCCTAATGAGCTATGATGGGTCGTTTACTTCATACCCCGTGAGTTTGGAGTAAGATACGACTGAGGATAACCTCTGTTCTGAGCTGACGTTTATTCCAACTTCCCCCGTGTCCTAACGCTTGTCACAGCGACGCCTGTCTGAGAACGTCGCTCTTAGAGACCCGACGGCATCGCCGCCATCATCTTTAGCCACATCGAAGGAGGAAGAACCTCCTCTCAAGTCAAGACCTACGACCAAACAGTTGTGTGGCAGTGAGCCATTTATCTGTCTTGTCTCTCACTGAAATGAGCGAAGTTCTTGACACATTTTTCAATAGTTTACGCTTGGGTCAGGATATCGTTTTCACACGGAGATTGAGGTCTAGACGATACAGCTTTGAGGAGCTATCATTGGCCATGACTAAGAAAGGGGGACCGACCGACCGGGTCAGAGGCCTGCCCCTGGCCCGTCCACGGCGGCTAGGTGCCACCAAGCCCGTAACGTTGGCAGGACACCAGCGCCCCCTCCTCCCCCACCCACAGAACCGCCGGAAAACAAGACAGGGCAAGCGCTCCGGAGGTGGCAAGCGGTTATTAGTTCCCTAACAGATAACCATCTAGTAGGATAACTTCTCAAAGCCTGATCGTCATGAATATGGACGAGAACAGTCTCCTGGGTGCAATACCGGCGGACTTCACACCAAGCGCCAAGACGCGCATCTCTAAAACATATCACGAATTCGACCTACTTTAGCTCTACAATTAAGGGTAAAGAATCGTTTTTGTAATGCCTTAAATTATGGTCATCTGGTTCCAACACAAAGTATCAACACACTCGTCGCATCCCGTCGACAAAGATTTGTGCCGGGGACACACTCACAGCATCATCACACACATCTGCACATTTTCTTCAAATTAGTTCAAACAAGCATCACTGCACACAACTCTTTTACAATCAAACATTCTTATAAAACACAACCTATTTTGCAATGCGCCCGGCCTGTCCCCAAAAAAATGAGCGAAGGCTCGCGGGCGCTTGCAGTGCAGACACACCAACAACTTTTTCGTATCAACTGAATCACCACCTACCCTCGGGAAGCTCAATCTCAATTCCTGCTATTGTCGCCACATGGTGCGAAATAAGAACTGCTAGAAGCAGGGCTGATAACGTGGAGTCCGAACGCGTTCTCCCGTGGTAAATCCACCGAACTGCTACACTCTTTATATCCATGACGCCGGCTCTCTCGGCTCGGCGGCCTTGCGACAATCTTGCTTCAACTCGCGGGTCACAACTTGGTTCAGATTCGCTCTCGCTCGTCAGTCGGCCATATGGTCGTCCCTTATATGTTGCACATGTAGAGGTTCAGACCTTGACGAGAGAATCAGGACGCGAGCTGGGCTGGTCGGTCGCAACTGCACACTGGGCCTGGAGTAGCTTATAAACGGGGCAGGAGAGTCCTGTGGCCGTGCGTTCTTCTTGCAGCAGTCTAGGGAAGGCTCGACCCTACTGGGTGATTCCGTCCCACTGAAGGTCTCCCGCTGGATGGATGCGCAAGGCCTGGATGGCGAATCACACGCTGAAAAAAAGTCGGCAGGGAATTAAAATAGTTCTCGGGGCTGTCATTGGTTCTCCCCCGGCAGGCCTGCCAGGACGCAGACTTTGTTGTTGAAATTGGATAGTTTGGGTACGGTTTCAATATTTACACGCCGGCCAGCCAACCACATGGCCGGTCCGAACGCCCACCCTCCCCTCAACACTTGGCGGGAAAGCCATTCAAAATTTACTCCAGCCGGGGGGAAGGGGCACCCAGACACCGGGATTTATTCCTGTAATCCTCGGTCTAGGAGATAGAGCTGTTGCGGTTGTAATTCAGAACGTCTACTAGTCTTCCGTCTATAAACGCCCCTGTGCAACAGCTCCGTACCAAGGTCGAAGAGACGGTACGCGACGCATAATGAAAAGTTTTTCAGCAAAAGCAAAGAAATCATTGCGCACGAGGAATTTCTTACCAGCCAGACGGTGGCTTAGATTCAATTTAAGCAGTCTTAGGACCGTTAAGAGTAGATAAGTGAAAATGCCGTGCATAGCTTACAAATCGTTCAAACGCTCATTGCCCCCCTCCCATACACAAAACAGACCAACTGCTCGATTTGGAGGTATCCCAAGCAAGTAGGACATAGTTTTTCTTTTGCGAAACATCCCTTGGTAATTGTGACATAAGGGATCCTTCTGTCCACGCCTAGCTGGTCTGAAACAGCGAAGAGGCCTAAAGGAAAAGTTTATTCCGTGTAGCGTTGAAGTCGGGTAGGACAGCTATCAATTTCTGCTCACATTACACAGCGGATCAAACGCTTTCGCCAAGTCGACGATGTGCGGCTTCGGTGCCCTCGGTTGCCCTGGTGAAGAGAAAAGAGTACGCGGGATGCCGCAGAGTGACCCCGCTCAGGATGAAGTTTGTTTGCCCGAGTGAAGAAGGTCTCTACGTTTTGGGTCAGACAGTGAACGGGCTGGAGAATTCACAGGAAGTCAAGAGAGATGTTCCGGAAGGAGAACTTACGCCAACACAATCTATGTTTAAGCTGGCTATTTATTGAAGCTGGCGATATATTTAGCTACCCTGTCTACGCACTTTGGCAAATTTAAATTGAAAGTTATATGGGGGCTGATTTTAAACTATTGCCCCCTGGAAAAAAATCAAGACTTGTACCTTGTATTCCTTCAGAGTCTGTGTAGCCTACGAGCAGCCAGCTTTCCTTAGGTCAGTGCCAGCCGATGTGAGGAGGGCTCGGGAGAACGTCTGCTTCCTGGCTACTCTGGGGACCAGTATTTCTTTTCAGACGACACCACAAACAGACGACAGGACCGGGGACAGACAGTGTATTTGTTCAGGAATATTGTCTGTAGAGGAAGAGTCTGCACCCTCAAGGAAGTCCACCGACCACGGTCGTCTCCCTCGGCGTGACGAGAGGGGGCGGACCGTTAACTTACCGCGGTGAGGCGCCCTGTGGGAAGGACACTTGGGCTAGAATGCTAATTTATAGATCTACTCCTTCTTTCAAATGTCTATAAACTTCAGCTTTAGACGCCATGGCATTTAAAAATATTACTGTTTAATCGCTGTTTAATCTAATTTCCTTGCAGCACAAAGAAACATTGCAATGTCTTACTTATTCTATGCCATCTCACACGTAAAATAAAGTTGACCTTTGTTACATAATAGAGAACTAAGTGAATGTTAGATTAATTCATTGAAGGATAGAATTGTCCAACGTGTCGGGCGGTTAGCATGATTGTGTTGCCCGTGTAAACACACTTGTCCACTGGGAGTTTGCCGGATTGTTTGATTATGCTGAAATTCAATAAACGAAAGTTTTATTTACTGATCACGTTTACTATATTTGGAGATAAATGCCCTGGCTCTTCGACGCTTTAGCGACTCAAATCAGACTGAATCGAACTGTCCCTCTTTACGTATAAGTCTTTCTGATTCTTTCTTATCATTGTATAGGTGAAATCACTCGAAAGGAATGAACCTACGCAGCTTTATTGTAAACAGTGTGAAAATGACCTCATCACACTATAAACATTTAAAGTGATCGTCATGCTTGACGAGAATTGTAAATTTGCGCTCCAAACTTAGCGTCCTGCGTCATGCATGTGGCCGCTGACCTGACAATAAGGACAGTCCGTGCATAATCAGAATAGAAGGAATGTTTACTAGATCATTATCCCGTCATGACTTTGGACCCGCAGCGCTTGTCCTTGTGCTGGAATTCCCTTCCGTAATCTCCAAGCAGATACAGGATGTGGGAACCGTGTCTGTCTCTGTGTTTTACGCATGTGAAGGCGAATAGTAAGAAATTTGCAACGAGGAAGACTCTCTAAATGCCGCAAAAACGCTGAGACTGGACAGAATCCTGTATCTTCTTGATGATCGATAATACAGACAGGGAATTCTTCTTCCAAGACTCCTGTCTGCAGCTAACAGGAGAGGGTTTTGAATAACGCCCACCTCAGGAATTCTATTGTCGCGTCATGGAACTCAATCGTCAGGGGTGACCCATTCTATGATATATTTGGCTGGCCGGTAGGGTACGGCTATATGATATTTCTACAAGACTGGCACAGCTATGTACACTTTTCCGGGAGAGGGAGGAATCTCCTAGAAAATCAAGCAGTATGGACAAACCATGGAGGTAGAAACAACAACAGCTTTCACTCTCTAGTATTTAAACACAAATTGACAAAGATAACATCATGTACATGGTGCTAACACTCCCATGACCGTGGTCTACAGGCCGCCCCTGTTGTGAAGACTACGTCATCGGCCCAACTAAACCACATTTAGGCCGGAATGCAGACGTCTAGTGGACACTGTGCCGAGAGACAGCAGATCTTAATCTTGAAGTTCAACCGACACCGACTGAATTCTTACCCCTCCCCCTCCCGCAAACTGTCTGAAAACTGACTTCGATCTCCAAGCAGATATAGGAGCAGACTCAGTGTCCGTTTTAATACGTCATAGGGCACCTTTTTCTATTTACATACTCTTACATCTGCTTGACTATTATGCAAATTTGTAGAATCATCGTCTCAGCCTTGGCCGCTGCCTCAACATAGCGTCATGTGTATGTAATCTGAAATATTTTCATGTACTTTTTCTTCCGCCACTCCCTAAACTTGAAGGATGCTTATGCGCTCTGGCCAAAACTAGCCAAGCTACAATCTTCTGTATTCATATCAAATACTTGTACTTGCTATACGTTAGTTGTATGCCCTTCCCTTCCACATAGATAATGTACAAATCATTAGCCTAGATGCCAGACCCATGGCACACTGGACCCTAAGTATCTCAGTACTTGGCCACGGTCCGGTCTAGCATCCAGGCTAACAAATTATCGACCCCACAATCCGAAATGGACGAGTTCTCTTTCTAATGATCCATACAATAATGAGGGCAGTCATGTAGACAATCGCCTCCCTATCTTCCTTATGAATGGATTCTGTGGAATGTCAAGGAAATCATCATTATCGGAAACATCTCCGAAGAAAGTTGGTTGATAGATGGAAGTGGAAGAATGCGTCCATCAGCTGGTCTCTATCAGACTAGGGCATCTCCGCGAGCACGCAGCGAAAGTCGGCAAATCTGGGATGAGTTAATGCCTCATGTCAAGTACTGACACTCAGACCAGGTTTTCCTGACTACGTATAGATCTAGCAGACGACGAATGCATATTTTTGATAAGCTACAGATATCTTCGTATCAATGATGATATGAATACAATGAAGACATATGGATATAACAGAAATGGTAATACGTGGGGGACGCTGGGAAAAGTTTCGACGAGAATCATCCTATGCAAGAATTTCTAGCTTTTGCACCGCGAGATCTTTACTTAGGCCACAGCAAGTAAATAAGTTGGATGACATCCTCTGCAGACATCAAATCTAAGGCGAGTGCGCGAAAATAAACAAAGCGGCCCAAATCAAACAAAATGCATAAATTTTCAAAATAGAGACCAAAAGTGTATTTTCTTGTCATGTTGAGCATTGCGGAAGAGGAACGACATATTTTCCCCCGAAACCAGGCAGAAATCAAGCGCGCGTGGACGTCATCCATAGAATTTACTTGCCTTGGCACAAATATCTACTTGAGGCCACCTCGCGCCCAGAAGAGGTCCCTAGCGGCAGCACATCCATTCCCTCCCACCAGGACCCGTCGTCATGGACGGAATTACTAGCTATCTATCAAAATGTATCATACAGTACAGCCAGCCGAAAACGCCATTGTACCAAATCGCCAACTTGGCATCAGGACTCGTCTGCATAGATTAAAGACGAGTCCGCATTCTCGCGATAATTCATTGCAGAAAATTAAATTGCGCGATACATTTGAGATATTATCGGATGTAATCGTCAGTGCTGATCCTCAAGCGTTTTTCATCGGTAGTATATTGCGCAAATGTTAGAGTTTCCTCTACCCAGACAGAATGAAATATAACTCCCAGACTCTCCCATGAACAATAAGTACATCCAGAGCGACTGAGGGAGACCGCCAGACGGGTATGCCCGAGGGCCGACATACTTTTACCGCCGCGGTCTGCATCGGTACCACATCAATCTTTCAAATTTCCACCATTCTTCCCCAGAATGGGAGGGCGGCCAGACATGCCTCCCCATCCTCTCTAGACCGTGTGGGATCTTAGAAATCGAAATACTTTGTAAAGGCTCTGTAGGAGACGCCGGGTGTTTCTGAGTCTTGTTATCCTAGTCTAATAGTGCTGCCGGGTCAACGTCCTTCTATCTGTCTTTATTTGACAAGGCAAGAAAAGTAGGCTGTCGCCAGGTGAATCTAGGCTGGAGTTTCAGTCTGTTCGTCAGTCGACACTAGCCTTGCTACAAAGTAAATGTCGAGTTCAAGGGCTATTCTATTACAGTTCAGGGGTGTCCTCAAGAGTGTCCACCTTCAAGTGTAGTGATGTAGTTTTATGAAGTTCGACGAAAATTCTGTTGGGGTACCGGGAACGGTCTCAAACAGACACTCTCATCACTGAAAGTTTCTAACAGATGGCGCTTCTTTCTAGAGATCTTGACACCAATTTAATTTCTTGGTTAACGGATTTTTCTAGAAAAATAATGGAGCGCGATTCGGGAACAACCTCAATAAAACCAGGCCTAGGCATCCTATTATGGCAGTGTCTTTGAACCAGCTAGGAGCCATGAAGTCAACACACCAGGCTGGATCGGATATTTGGTCAATACCTTGGGAACTCATAGTGATACCATTGCATTGAAAGATGGAATAGCTGTAACAACTAGGAAGAAAAGGACTGTTTTCAACTGTTCAGGGCAAAATATGAGCATTTTGCAGTTGATTCTGAATTTTTATTTTTATTT